ACCCAACCTGGTTACCAGCCCGATACCATCTAACAATCCCAAGTTGCTTCTCATTTTCCAAACCTCTCCCGTCGACACATCTCCGTTTGATGTTTTTGGCTCCGACTCAGAAGCAAACAAGAAGAATTGGGAACACAAATCGAATTCAGCCAATTAGATGGCAACGGCGTCCCTGACTACTCATTTCCAGGGGGGGATATCCATGATACTGAAGCTCCTCCAGCCTCGCTTTTCACTTTTTTTCCATTTTCTCTTCGTTTTTATATTCCTCCAGTCCTTATTTTTCAAAGAGCTCTAAACTTTTTAAACTTCCAGCTATCTATAGCAAATCATAATCTTGTCATGTTACTGTAATTAAAAAACAGAAGCAACTGCAACAAACTTCTACCAAAATCCAAACAAGAAATTTTTCTCCATGCAAATTCGCGGAATGATAATCCTGACGAAAATAACAAAACAAAACCATGGATAATAATTTTTCTTTTTTCTTGCAATGTCTTTCGGATCAGCAGCACAAACACAAAAAAAGATATTTGGAGGAAAAATAAGAATTCGTTGTTTTCCAACCAATATTCTGTCTGTCACTATTTGAAATACTTTGTATAGACAGATCTGGAAAGCAAAAAAAAAAACCAAACTTTTTCCTCTTCTTTACTCTCTTCTTTCAATAGCATTGGACCCCGGGACCATGGGGGGTCACAGCGAAGTCGTCATCGTCGCCAACGGCTCCTCTCCGTCAGTTCTTCTCCTTTTTTGTGGGAGCCATGGGAGAAAAGAGGGCAGCAAAAAGAGCTTCAAACTGCCGCGCTCTGTGCTTCGGGAGCTCTAACACGTCCTGTCTATTCTTCGTCTTCTGCTTCTTCTTCTTCTTCATCGACGTCTTCTTTTTTCGCTATCCCCCCTGCGCAAGAATATGTACATACGCGAAAAATGTGCGCGGAGGGGCCCCCGTGGTCGTCCGAGTAGTGCGCTCACGCAGCCCCACACATACACATTGGAGAATATCGACTAATCGAAAACGCCTCCTTCCCCTACTCTTTTTTCTTCCTTTTTCTTTCTTCTTTTTTTTCTTAGTCTTTTTTTTTTTTGCTTCTTCATATTGTCTACGGGTCCAAAACCACCACATGGTGACGAATAAATTTATAGTTGCTAGAATGCATGCATCTGAAAAGTTC